ACACACACACACACACACACACACACACACACACACACACACACACACACACACACACACGCACACACATACATACACAGACACACACACATACACACCCGCAAACACTCCCTCCCTACACAGTTTTCTTGAGCACACCGACGTTATTCATAGCGATCTAGTCCACTCGATCACAGCCCAATCTCGTCCCGTACGGAGCCGACCTGCGCCTGTACAAGCCTCGCCATTTGTCGCAGCCCAAGGTGCTCAGCCGGCCTGCCCTCTGCCGGCACCCTACCATCGCCATCACCTTGGAAACATGCATGCTTTCCCCATAAGCATGTTCTCGTCACTCTCCCGAGTCCCCGACCTTGTGTGGCTTTGAAGAATCGCCCACCTTTCACGAAACTTCCACCTTTGTAGAAAAACTTCCACCTTTGTGGAAAAACTTCCGCTTGCTCAAATTGCAAAATGGGTGAATATGCTTGACAGTGTTGACACATATATCAGATCGTATCACCTCGCTCACAATAATCGGAACAAGCGGTGCGTTCCTCTCGCAGCGACGGCAGGGGACGCGAGGCTTTCCCTCGTTGTGTTCCTCTCACAGCGGCGGCAGGGAACGTGAGGCTTTCCCCTCATAACAGACCCCAACTGTTGTCAACTCCATCCTCGTCACTGTCATCATCATACCCACCAGCGTCCGAACGAAAATACATAACCTTTGGGACCAAGTGGGACCAGGAGTCCGAACGCGACTAACACAACCTTTGGGACCAAGTGGGACCAAGTGGGACCAGGAGTCTGAACGCAACTAACACAACCTTTGGGACCAAGTGGGACCAAGAGGCCGAACGAGACTTACACGACCTTTGGGACCAAGTGGGACCAAGTGGGACCAGGAGTCCGAACGCGACTAACACAACCTTTGGGACCAAGTGGNAGGCCGAACGAGACTTACACGACCTTTGGGACCAAGTGGGACCAAGTGGGACCAGGAGTCCGAACGCGACTAACACAACCTTTGGGACCAAGTGGAACCAAGTGTCCGAACGAAGCTGCACAGTCTTTGGGACCAGCGGCCGAACAAACTACACAACCTTTGGGAACGACTCAATGGAACTGGTCCCCTCGTTGCCAGAATCGGTCCCCCTCTGCCTGAAGGCTTTCTCGACATCAGCATCTCTACCACACACCAAACACACAAGACACATAACACCCGCTCACACGGTTAGTTGCCCCCCTTCTTGTTATGAAAGTCTTGAAAGCTTTCCCTTTTTTTCCCCTCTAATTTGGACCCTTTTTCGATGTATGCACGTCATCCTTGCGGCCATGTTGATCTTCTCTGTGTCGTTCCACTTTTAACGGACGTCCGGAAGGACAAAAGCCTTGAAAGCTTAAAATCTGCGTAGCATGCCACAAACGTGTTCGGGGCTCCTGCAAACATCCGGACACGTTCGACCGTTCGCACGAACGGCTCACAAACGCGTTTGCAAGAACACATTTTAGCGGCCCGCGAATGCGTTCTTGCAAGGTCGTTACCTGGCCGCTTTGGACTGTGGAGGCCGGAAGGGGAGTAAGGGCCCTAAGGGGGGGGGGGGGGGGGGGGGGGGGGGGGGGGGGGNGGGGGGGGGGGGGGGGGGGGGGGGGGGGGGGGGGGGGGGGGGGGGGGGGGGGGGGGTCTGGGCTGGCATCTTGCCTTGTGAATTGAGTGGGCGAGAGCACGTTGGAATTCAAACGCCGCCCTCTGACTTACCATCGTTGCCATGGCTGTCGACCCCGCCGTCGCTGCTGTTGCCGCCATAGCCTGTCGTCGCCGCCGCCTTGGTCGCAAGGATCGCCACGTCAGCACATCCACAGGTAAGAGAGAGAGAGAGAGAGAGAGAGAGAGAGAGAGAGAGAGAGAGAGAGAGACCAGGCATCCTTCCATCTCCCTCCTCCTCCTCCACTTCCCTTCTTTGCAAGGCCGCCATGTCAGCCCGATCCATTTTTTTTTAGTTTTTCATTTTCCTTCTTCTTCAGGCAGAATGTGCTCAGGGGTGGAGTCTGCCCCCCAACCCCTGAGACTTGCAAAAAAAAAAAAAAAAAGGTGCTCCCATTCGGGGGGAACTTACGTCCGTTCGCATTCGGGCGCACGGCGTGCTGCGCAGCTTAAAATTTTGTTACAAGTAAAAATCACATGCACCAAGTACCATGGATGCGCCCACGACAAGCTCACCTCATTGTCCTCAGCTGACCACCGAACGAAAAGAAAAGAAGAAAGAAACAACAAGGACTCCTCTGCAGTTGGATCTCACCTGCAAATCAGCAGGTCAGGACTCATGTGGTCTCGTCAGCCAGTTCGACATCTGTTCTCCAGGACCGGATCCTGCTCAAACTGGAGTCCGGCAACTCCTACCATTAATTGTGCAGGTTAGGCATCCAGGCGGCCTGCTTTTCCCCCCGATTACGGAGCAGCGTCTTCGCAGACGAACTGAACGCTCAACATTATCGCTGTGTCTATATGGTGAAAGTTGGCCCAAATGCACAGCTATGATGGATGACAGGGAGTTGTATTATGGGTACAGAGTCTACAGACAGAGGGTAGGTAAGTTGGTCTCAAGCCTGGAGTTCACCTGGCTTGAGTCAGAGGTGACCTGGCTGAACTGCAGGTGTTCGGGCAGACCTTCCTAGTTTGGTCACATTCGTTCCGGGGGGAGCGGCCTGCGCTTGCACCAGATAACATCCAGTTTGTGCTTGAAAAGCATGAGCCTGGCCATAAAACTTGCCAGGTTCATGCCCTCAGGCTAAGTCTGTCTGTCTGTCTGTCTATCTGTCTCAAAGCCTGCAGACCGTAAGCTCTGCAGGTGTTCAGCTGCGCTGGACCTGCAGCTTCAACTCTGCTCTCCATAATATCACCTCACAGTATCATCGGTTAGGGGACTCTGCGGCCTGTTGAGGGTTCAGCCTCCTCACGACGCACTGAAAGTACAACGGAACAGTCTGTTTGTCACAGCCCCTCATTTGATGTCCTCTCCTCTCCTTGTGACTACGGTTCACCGGGCATTTCTCCATGACAATATACATACGCATATATAAAGAGATGGGCTCATATAAATTAAACAACGGGCTTATATATCGTCATATACAGCTTCCCGGTGAACCATAGAGAAGGAGAAAAGGAAAAACAAACAATGGGTTGCGTAACAGTTTCACCGACTGCCTCCTCATGACAAGACTGACCCCTCTACAGTCCGCAGAGTCCCCTAAAGGATGATGCTTCTGCAACTTCTATCCATTTTAACCCTGTGGTAGTGGGGACCACCACATTAAAAAACCTAGTTGCGGGAACCCTCTACAGTCCACAGAGTCCGCAGAGTCCCCTAGTTGCGGTTAATCAATGATCATCAACGCCTGCCCGACAACTGATAATACTGCCTGCGGTGGTGGGGACCGCCACATTAAAAAAAAGATTTTTTTTAAGAAAAACAACCGTAGGCTTATAAACAGTTTCCATACTTTATATCAGATTCTTGCAATGCCACTTTGAATAGGCCAAGGATAGATAACTGTATTTTTTATTTTATTATTATTATTATTATTATTATTATTATTATTATTATTATTATATTATTATTATTTATATAATTTTATAATAATACTATTAATTACTAGCCTTCTGTTCCAAGAGGGGCCTGCATCATACCTTGGCCATGGCACCCTTTGACGACAAAAAAAAAAAAGGCTATGGCCTTGACATATTGTCTTCAAACTTCAAAGTTTAAACTGACCAGCCCCCGGCAAATTCATATTTATTAAATTTTATTTACTATTTACAATTTACTAATCTGAGTTCATTCAACTTCATTGGGGTTTGAACTGGGGTCTGTATTTCAACTGTTCATGGGTGTACCAACTGCCCTAGGCTCTTGGGTTGGTGCATGGCACCCTTTTTCTCAGTTGTCAAATATCCAAAAACATTCTTGAAGCGCAGAACGAACACAAAATGGCTTTTTTTTTTTCCTGACAAAATGGTTTCTGAGTTAAACGATTCTTCAAAAAAAAGATACGAGCACTTTCTCACATCTCCAAAGCCGATAGCAGTCGGGCAGCGGACGATGGATGGTCATGCCGTGCACGAATCGGTGCAGCAGACAACAAGAGACAAAAGACAGAAGGGAATTGTAGGTTGGTTCACGAGGGTGCTTACTCATCCTTGCCGCCATCCCACAGAATCAACAGCTCTTTCCGGAAGAAGCCGAGGACGAGCACCGTTCCTGATTGGGAAAAAAAAAAAAAAAAAAAGCCACAGTGCACACAACAATTGTGAATAATCTGAAGCACAAGTTGCACAACAGCATTCAGACGGATACGCAAGAAAAGTGGAATTGAATTGCACACACGTTCAGAACAAGAAGAAAAAGACTCGAATAACTTCTCAATATTATCAGTAAAACAATTCTAATTATTTCAATTTATTTGATTATAAAATCAAAAATTCCAATTTCCACCAATGGGCCAAGCTCAGTGGTACGCCCCCCCTGGGGCCTGGACCCATTAGCCAAGTATTCTACCACTTCGTTCAGGATTTCGATCACGTGTGGCCTCGAGTGACACAGTACGGCCGTAGAAAAGATCGGATCTGGACGGCCTGGTAGTTTCCGAGCGGGACTGTAAAGATGGCCACCTCCCGTCCAATGAGATGCGCCGAAAAAAAGAAAAAAAAACAAAGTTGGACTAACTTGGACATGATAGCTCGTGGCTTTGTGTGGGCGGGAAGTCTGGATTTTATGGGCTCTAAAGGGGGGGGGTTGATTTCCAGACTTCGTTTTTTTTTGTTTTTTTTTTGGCTCTAAGAAATAGAACTAGAAATGTGAAATTCAGATATCGTGGTGGATCTGACAGGAACGCTTCCGCGTCTGTCGGATGGCCTGTTAGAGGCATCATGAGATACATGGGGATGAATGTATCCCTATAGCCATTACTTGTTCATCCTCGTGGCTGTGTTCGTGGACACATTTTATTGCCACGGTACATCAGTATCAAGACTTACGTGAAGGAGATCGTACCAACCCATGAATTCGGGTGCGCAGCTGTTCTTCATAGTTTTATGTGCTATTTCAATTCATTTTAAATAAAAAAACGATCCATTCATGCAAATAAAAAATCACTTTGTATTTTCCAAAAAAACATAAAATTGCGTCACACATCGTAGAATACTTCGCTAGTGGGTCCAGGCCCCTGGACTGTTGAAATACAGACTCAAGTTCTAATCCAGATACCTTCAGAGGAAGAGAAATGTTTCATGTTTCAAAAAAAAAAAAAAAAAAAAAAAAAAAAAAAAACAATTTCCGAGGGAAATAAGAAACGCGAACAGCAATAAACCAGATTGTGACATCTCAGTGATCTCACAGAAGACCAGACATCATTGAGCTGAAATTGAACACAGAAATCAAAGCGAGATGGACGCCAAATAGGAAAAAGAGCAAAACACAGTAAGTGTCTAGATATAAATAAAAAAAAAGAAAAAAAAAAGAACGCCCTTACATCCGTCTCCAATCATCAATGCAACGACAATGTAGCTGTCGTATAGGCGTCCTGGACACCGAAACTACTCCCTTATCACTCTTTTCAATCTTATAGCCTATTTTTTTATGCCGGCAATCAGTCCACATGCCATCAGCCCAATGGCGCTTGAAGGCTCTTGATTGAACACAGCCTGCCTTCGTCAACACCGAGTACATGCCGCCTCGTTCACATCACTTCTCTCCCTTGCCCCCCACCACTTGTTCCACCAAGGACCTCCACTACTTTTACCACCAAGGCTTTGGACCGCAGAGCCTGGCTATGGCTGGCGCCTCCCTTCTGCTTCCTCGCTGCCAACACAGCAGCTCCCCACAGGCAAGGTGCTCACAGGTACTAATCCAGCAACGCTGCCCGATTGGCACATCGCCTGGACGTCTGAGTCTGGCGGCCCTTCCGTCTTTTTTGCACCCGGTGCAGAGAGGCCGAAGCGGCCACACCCAGGCTCTGCCCTGTCCTGCTTGCCCTGCACTTGGCCTCTTCCAGAATGTCAACGCGGGCCCAGCAGCATCTGCGGCTGACTCATGGGCTGGACCGTACGGGGGTTAGTGGATGATGACGCCCACGTGCGTGCTGGAACTACCCTGCGGCCCTTTTACCTGCTGCTCACATTCTTCTGTTCTCCGGCACAGATGCATTTTGGCAGGCCCACCTTCATTTAGGACACGCAAGGTCTCTTTCTGGCTTACCCAAGGTGTTGAATACGCGCAAAATCTATAGATATTATATACTCTAGTGCCAGCGGCATGACTGGCGTGTACTTCTTGGCTGTGACAGACCTTTCTTTGTTTCGTGGGTGTTTTGCTGGCTTGCGATAGGGTGTGAACCGACAGTCTGTAGAGTTTTCCATCTGGTGTGGGTGAGTGAGTGATAGTCTGCTTTGATGTTCGTCACAGGTACCTTGAGGGCAGTGGTTGGTGCCCACCTCAGGGTATCAGTTGCCGGGCTGTCGCTGAAACTTAACCACAACCAGGGTTAAGGTGGATCGTCACTTACAGTGTTAACAGTAAGCGGATTCTGCAGACTGTTGAGGGTTCAGTCTCCTGATGAATCGGTGAAACTCCGACAAAACAGTTTGTCACAGCCCCTTGTATGTTGTCCTCTTCTCCCTCTCTGCCTACGGTTTGCCGGACAGCTCTGTTTGACGATCATAGCGGGTGTCTGTCGTACACAGTGCTTTAAAGTTTATACCCTGAGTTCGAGCGGTCTTGAGTTCTTTGTTAAACCAACCCACTACCTTGTCCCATGTGAGACGCCGCCGGGCCTCCGAATCTTTAGGAGGCCAAAACGAAAATGACAGCCGCCCACCAATGAGATTTATCAATCGCGGCCTTCGTCGGGCCCAGCCTTCGATTTCTTAGGACCAGGATATTTTCCCGTTTTCCCAACGGCGGGAAAGGTAGTTGCGCTTTAAAAGTAATAATAAGAATAAATAAAAGTAATTGCGTTTTAAAAGTAATAATAAGAATAAATAAAAGTAACCCCAGGTTTCGAGGTATCGCGTTCACATTTCGAAACTCACAATGGTTACAACTTCAAACTCCCCCAGAAAAAAAAAAAAAAAAAAAAAAAAAAAAGACTCCCCCAGAGTGCACACCCACCCAGGTTTTGAGGCGTTCAAACTCAGAATGGATCGCACTGAATCGGTACGTAGACAAGGTTAGATACTTTGACATTTGACCCAGAATGGAAAAGGAGCCAGGCCCCTGAGGAGCTGCTTAAAAAAAAAAAAAAAAAAAAAAAAAAAAAAAAAAAAACTTCGACGTTTGATATAGAAAGCATAGTTTGCGCTTCGAGAGCGCCAATGGCTTGTGTTAAAAATTGTACGTTCTAAGGCTCAAACACCAAACACAGGGTTGTCATCTGTCCCAAAAAAAAAATAGGGGGGGGAGGGAGACGACAAAAGAATAGTTCTGAATTTCATGGGACGGTCAGCTCAATGATATGATGATATCGCAAGGCCGTCGCCCTTTCATTTAAAAAAGGGAGAAGAAAAAAAGAAAAAAGAAAAAAAGAAACAAAAAATAGAGACGAGAACAGGAAAACTGCAATGAAGCTTTGCAATTGCAATCCACAACTCCCAACATGTACGAAGAGAACACCCAGATGAAAGTTCACACCGGGCCAAGAGACGACAAAAGAATCAGCGCTGCCGGAAGAATTTCCACTCGAACATATTATATAATAGTAATTATAGTATTAATTATATAATAGTAATTATAGTATAATTTTATAATAGTAATTATAGTATAATAGTATAATAACAATAACAATACCCATTTTCGGGCATAGAAAGTACCTAAGAAACGACCAATGGAAACGAGAACAGGAAGACTCTCTTGTGAGCCTCCATGCACAAAGTGCAGCAATTCAGACATCTCGGCCGACTCGCTGGACACAAAGTGTTTGATGTGATGCGTATTATAATACTATTATTCATTTTTTTTTTGTTTTTTTTTTAAAAAAAAGGGCAACGGCCTTGAGATACCATCATTGAACTAAAAACCCCAGGTATTAATTCATAAATATTTTATTCTGGTCATCTGATCACCTCTGGATTCGAACTGGGGTCTGTATTTCAACAGCTCCTGGGTGTACCAACTGAGCTACAGGCCCGTCGGTTGTGCGCACATTCTCGAAACTGCGCGTGAACCGCGCTGGCTACCGTCTTCACCCAAATAGAACGCCCGGTAATTATCGCCGTATCTGGGCTGAAAGTTGTGCCAAATACAGCTATAATGACCGGGCGTTATATTCGGGTGAAGACGGTAGAGTTACGTTAAACAGCCAGTACACGGCCCCAGCCTTGATGAAAAGAAAACTCGTCGGAGGCCCAACGCCGTAGATAAATCGGATCGGCGGCGGGCGGCCTCTGAAAAGGGCCTTGACCGAGGGTCCACAGGAGACTACTATGGGAGCTCCGAAACCAATCCCGAAGCKAAGATTGATTTTCCCGCAGTTCTTTTCATGTTTGCCTTTGGGTTCTCTTTAGGCACGAAGTGCAACCATCTAAACTCTATAAGCAACTTGTCAGAAATTGATCTTAGATTTCTGGCATTATATTATAGTGGACTCCTTCCTGAGCCTTTCGGTCGATAGCTGGATGTACTGGTGGTTCAAAAAGCCCCAATGGTTCAGGATTCAAGCCCAGGGTTCCCATCCGTGAAAAGGCGAAAAAAGAAAAAAGAGTTTTCCTTGTCGAGCATAGACAGAAGCACATAAGAAAAAAAAAGAAAGCTGCGAATGGCTAGAGTTCTTTTCAAGCCATGCCTTTGATCTGCACGGGGGAGGGAGAGAGCAGAAGGCTGTTCTTCAAAATAAAGTGGTTATCAAACTCACCCAAAGTACACGGCACGAGGTAAAGTAGTGCGGGCTGGCCCGCTCCGTTCATTAGTATCAATGACACATATGTCACAGCCAGACCTGTGCAGCAGAACATAGACAAGGCGGTCGGTCAGATGCGTTCACAAAATGTATTAAGTCATCCGTCATCGGGCAGAAAAGTTGACGAAACACTGTCACATGCACACGTATAGCACCCTTTTACGTAGTGCATAGTACATAGTACATGCTCATATCTATAATTACCTGAATACATGCCCATACTTGTATATAGCTGAGCACATACCCATATCTATATATAGCTGCCTACATACTACATACCCATAACTGTATATAGCTGCATACATACTACATACCCATATCTATCTACGGCTGAGTACGTAACCTTATCTATATATAGCTGAGTACATACGTATAGCAGTTTTCACATACATATTACATATACATACCCATATCTATATATCGTCACAAACAGAACTGCCCGCTAAAACCGTAGGCAGAGAGAGAGAAGAGGACAACAAATGAGGGGCTGTGACAAACTGTTTCGTCGGAGTTTCACCGACTCATCAGGACGCTGAACCCTCAACAGTCTGCAGAATCCCCTCACTGATTACACTGTAAATGATAATCT